TCTCTCTCTCTCTCACTCGGTGTCTCTCTGTCTCTTCTTTCATTTGTCCGTCCTTCTATCTGTTCCGCTGTTTGTTTGTCAGTCTGTCTGCCTGTCGTTATCAGTCTCTCAAAGGCTTTGTCTCACTCGTGAAGAGTATCTGGTTCCTTGTACTATTGAAAAACTAGAGGGAGGGTTGGGAATCAATTCACCGAGCAAATAACTTTTTGGAAACGAGCAATCACACTTTGCTCCTTTGAGAATAAGATTGATTTATCACCAGTCTTGGGCAAGATTGGCCTTTCCAAAAAAATACTATACAATTTTTCTTCCTGTTAGTTAAATTAAAGTCTTGCTCCAAAGATTCTAAATCTAGTTGCGCCGCAATTTAATTCCAAATTTGTTAAAGTGAAAAATCACACTTTTCTCTAAAGTAGTCAAAGTTCATGCACTATTCTTCTCTTGGGTTAAGTTGTAGTTCTCCTAGATACAATGGATACAATGGATGCAACTATAATCGAACCAAATCGGATAATCGAGACAAACTTTTTAAAGGTTGTGATTGTAGAAGTTTTCTGCGGATGCATAGAATGATCGTCAGACATTGAGAGACGAGCTCTTGTGCATTCATTGACACAATTTGGATCATTTAAGAGGAAAAGCTCCACCCTTCCCGCCAGGGACACTCCGGGATGAGAGAAATGCAATGTCCCAGCAGGGAGATGAATACTATTATCTTAAAGAATCCCTCGTTACTCGGGAATCGAATTTACGTCTTTAGCATGGAACCACAAAACTGCTAATCTCTACGCGACTGGAGCAGTAAAGTGGTATTCTATTCACCTCTGTCAAGTAAGTAGAGCTTTGAAACACCCACACACTTTTGTGTAGCTTGCAGCTTTCTGATACTCTATCTGGCTCACTCAACCTGTATACCGCACACACACACACACACACACACACACACACACACACACACACACACACATACACACATACACACATGCACACACACACGACAAAACTTTCACCTTGGACCGGTTCTCCGATCTGCCGTAACACACATACATACACATG